AGAAATTAGAGACTGTTGAACTAACTCACAAGATGCAGCATTTGACTCGACACCAAGAGAAAATTATAGGTTATGTGTCACATTATTTATCATAATAATGTGACTATGAAACAAAACAAATCAATATGGTGATGATTATTCCTGTACGCTACAAAGAAATCTTAATTACATTTGCAAATGGTACCTCACTATGCAAAAAAAGGATGAGAAGAATACTGATGTGGTATAAAAGTTGATGCATATGCAAGAAAGAAGAAATTATTAGATGGTTTTGGTGCTTGATCCATACAGCAAGTGATGTAAATTAGAGCTTGTTCACATCAGATCCATTGAGTGGCATTGATCTGCATTGAACAATATAGGCTCAATGCAAGGACACTGAGAAAAACAAGCGTTTTCCTGTTTATTTATTTATTTTATTTATTTCAGGTACTTATATAGCGCCATCAATTTACGCAGCACTTTACATATATATATATATTGTACATTCACATCAGTCCCTAACCCTCAAGGGGTGTACAATCTAAGCTCCCTAACTCACATTCATACATACTAGGGCCAATTTAGACAGGAGCCAATTAACCTACCAGCATGTCTTTTCCTCCATAGGAAAGTGCTGGGGGAGAAGAAGAATCTGCTGCTTGAAGCCAGGTTTCTGTAATTGCTAGTAGGTGAAGGGAGTGGGAGACAAAAAGGTCATGGACAGAGGTGAGCTTATTACAGACAGAGCGGGCGTTCCAGAATGCAAATGAAAAAGGGAGGGTGGTTTTTGGGAGCACGGGGACTGATATTACATTGAGGGGATTGCGGCTATTCCTGGAAGAAGGAGGATGCCTGGTGTGGGGGTGAAATACTGGAGGACCAGGGTTTCGGGAGATTGCCCCAGAGGTTAGAAGAAGAAGAAGGGTGAGGAAAGTAACATGGGAGCGGGATGTATATGAGTGTACATGCCTTCCTGTCCTGGTGTGTGGGTCAGCAGGAGAGTGAAGTATCAGCAGGAGGTGATGAGAGCAGTAGTAAGGAGATGGTAGCAGTGAGGGTGAGATGTATACGTTTTGGGGTGTAGCAGAGGGGTAAAGAAGTGAGATTTTGGGAACGCAGGATAGTAATATGAAAAGGAGGAGTAGAGGGGACATATTACAAAGGTACACAGAGTGGGACTCAGACTTGTAGGAATTTGTAGGACTTGTTCAATACACTTTTGTGCACCTAGTTAAATGTAGTTTTGTTTTTATGTTAATAGATAATAAAGCAAATTAGATCTACCGTATTTGCCAGAGTATAAGACGACTTCCCCTACTTTTCCTGTTAAAATATAGGGTTTGAGCTATACTCGCCGTATAAGACTACCCCTCTTCCAACACACACCAAATAAAAATGAAAAAACATCAGATTTGATTTCAATATGGTATGCTATTTCAGTATGGTATTCCAATGATGGGGTGCTATTCCTCCCACTGACACCAATGATGGGGCACCTCGCTCTGACACCAATGATGGGGCCCTATTCCTCCCACTAATACCAATGATGAGGCACTACTCCTCCCACTGACACCAATGATGGGGCACTATTTCATCCACTGACACCAATGATGGGCACTATTCCTCCCACTGATACCAATGATGGGACACTATTCCTCCCACTGACACCAATGATGGTGCCCGATCATTAGTGTCAGTGTGTGAGGAATAGTGTCCCATCATTAGTGTCAGTGGGAGGAATAGTGCCCCATCATTAGTCAGTGGGAGGAATAGTGCCCCATCATTGGTGTCAGTGGGAAGAATCGTGCCCCATCATTGGTGTCAGTGGGAGGAATAGTGTCCCATCATTAGTGTCAGTGGTAGGAATAGTGCTCCATCATTGGTGTCAGTGAGAGGAATAGCGCCCCATCATTGGTGTCAGTGGGAGGAATAGTGCCCCATCATTGGTGTCAGTGGGAGGAATAGTGCCCCATCATTGGTATCAGTGGAAGGAATAGTGCCCATCGTTGGTATCAGTGTGGGAGAATAGTGCCCCATCATTGGTATCAGTGGGAGAATAGTGCCCCATCATTGGTGTCAGTGGGGGGGGGGGCAATAGTGCCTCATCGTTGGTGTCAGTGGGGAGGAGGAATAGTGCCCCATCGTTGGTGTCAGTGGGGGAGGAACAGTGCCTCATCGTTGGTGTCAGTGTGGAGGAGGAATAGTGCCTCATCGTTGGTGTCAGTGGGGGGAGGAATAGTGCCTCATCGTTGGTGTCAGTGGGGGGAGGAATAGTGCCTCATCGTTGGTGTGAGTGGGGAAGGAATAGTGCCCCATCATTGGTGTCATTGGGGAGGAGGAATAGTGCCCCATCATTGGTGTCATTGGGGAGGAGGAATAGTGCCCCATCGTTGGTGTCAGTGGGGGAGGAATAGTGCCCCATCGTTGGTGTCAGTGGGGGAGGAGGAACAGTGCCTCATCGTTGGTGTCAGTGGGGGAGGAACAGTGCCCCATCGTTAGTGTCAGTGGGGAGGAACAGTGCCCCATCGTTAGTGTCAGTGGGGGGGGGAACAGTGCCACTTACTGGCCACTCCCTCACTCAATTTTCGCGGGGCCGCTCGGCTCCGCCTCCACGCCGGTGATTGGTCGCCTGTGTGCCTTTCCAGTGCTGGCGCCCAATCACCGGTGAGGAGGCGGAGCCGAGCGGCCGCACACCACGACCATCGAGCGGTCCCGAACTGAAAGAAGGAGCAGCCGCGCTTCCTGGACCGGATCGTCGTGGGACCGGGACCGGAGCCAGGTAAGGTACAGCAGCCCCCTGCCCGCCCCTGTACTTAGTGTCCCTTCCGCCACCGCGCCGCCCCTCGAAAAAGTGCGGCCCTGACGCCGGCTCGCCGTATACTGGCGTATAAGACGACCACCACCGACTTTTCAGAAGATTTTCATGGGTTAAAAAGTCGTCTTATACGCCGGCAAATACGGTAGCTTAATAGCAAAAGATAACTGGAGTGATTGGTGACTACCTGGGTGCCAACATTCCTGAAATACACTATCCAATAAATTGTGTCATGGGTGTGTGGACTTTCACAGCACCATATACAGTTGTGGCCAAAATTATTCAACCCCCACTGAAATTGAGTGTTTTGGCCAGTTTGACATTGCTTTTGATCATTCAGTCATCTTGCTTACATTTACATTAAAGAGGCACTTGTAGGTCAGACAAATATAACATAACAGTTATAATGAAATAACCACAAATGTCTTTTCTGTGCTCACAGCATTATCAGTTTTATTCAACCCCCAAGTGACATTCAATCTTAGTACTTAGTACAGCATCCTTTTACAGTTATAACAGCTTTTAAACGTGAAGCATAGCTTGACACAAGTGTCTTGCAGCGATCTACGGGTATCTTCGCCCATTCTTCATGGGCAAAGGCCTCCAGTTCAGTCACATTCTTAGGCTTGCGCACTGCAACTGCTTTCTTTAAGTCCCACCAGAGGTTCTCAATCGGATTTAAGTCTGGTGACTGCGATGGCCACTCCAAAATGTTCCAGCCTTTCCTCTGCAACCATGCTCTAGTGGACTTGGAGGTATGCTTGGGATCATTGTCCTGTTGAAAGGTCCAACGTCTCCCAAGCCTCAGGTGTGTGACGGACTGCATCACGTTTCCATCCAATATCTCCTGGTACTGAAGAGAATTCATGGTACCTTGCACACGCTGAAGCTTCCCTGTACCTGCAGAAGCAAAACAGCCCCAAAGCATGATTGACCTCCACCATGCTTCACAGTAGGCAAGGTGTTCTTTTCATCATAGGCCTTGTTCTTCCTCCTCCAAACATAGCGTTGATCCATGGGCCCAAACAGTTCTAATTTTGTTTCATCAGTCCACAGAACACTATCCCACAACTTTTGTGGTTTGTCCACATGGCTTTTGGCATACTGCAGTCGACTCTTCTTATTCTTTGGAGACAGCAAGGGGGTACGCCTGGGAGTTCTGGCACGGAGGCCTTCATTACGCAGTGTGCGTCTTATTGTCTGGGCTGAAACTTCTGTACCCACATCTGACAAATCTTTTCTCAGTTCCTCAGCAGTCACACGGGGACTCTCTCCACTCTACGCTTCAGGTAGCGCACAGCAGTCGAAGTCAGCATCTTCTTTCTGCCACGACCAGGTAGCGTTTCAACAGTGCCCTTTGCCTTGAATTTGCGAATGATGCTTCCTAAGGTGTCTCTTGGTATGTTTAACATCTTTGCAATCTTCTTATAGCCATTGCCCTTCCTGTGAAGAGAAATCACCTCTTCTCTTGTCTTCCTGGACCATTCTCTTGCCTTCACCATGTTTGTAACCACACCAGTAAATGTCTAGAAGGAGCTGAGTATCACAGTCATTTTAAAGCTGCCTAATTGGTGCTTATTATGCTTGATTGCTGCTCGGGTGACATCCACAGGTGTTTTCAATACCTGATGGAAAGCACCTGTATGAACCTCTGTTCTTCAGAGTGGTAGTCTTTAAGGGGTTGTTGAATAATTGTGGCAATGAAGAAACCACATAAGAACCATTTACTACTGTATTACATAAACAATTGATGTCATTTTAGTTGCATTTGGGTAGTTACAACGTCCTTGTAGGATTTGATTCTGAATACAATTCCAAATGTACACTATAGTCCCTAAACCCCTTTACAGCATTGGGGGTTGAATAATTTTGGCCACAACTGTATAACTCAAACACCAAAAATTATATAAATACAGGTATTTTAACCACTTGCCGTCTGCCTGCTGTTTATAAACGGCAGGGCGGTGGCACTCCAGGGGCGGGTTGCCGTTCATAAACGGCACCCGCCATTTCTAGCTGTGCGCGCTCCCTGGGAGCTCGCAGCACCGCGATCCGGTGCCCACTGTGTCCTCCGGACACAGTGAAACACAGATCGTCGGACGGGACCTCTGTACGAGGTCCCGATCATGTGATCACTGATTGGCCAATCAGTGATCACATGCAAAGTAGTAAGCAAGATGTCACTTCTGACATCATTGCTTACTACGTGTGAAATCTGTGAATGATCACAGAGGTCACATGGTACAAGGCTAGTCACAACAGCCTTGTACTATGTGACAAGGTGTGACCAATCACAGCTCACTCAGTATTTCTCAATTGCAAGAATGCAGACAGAGAGAAAGAGAAATGATTGCTTTTACATCCTATATGGGTGTAAAAGCAATCACTGTAAAAAAAAAAAAAAAAAAAAAAAAAAAAATCTTCATTACCCCCCATAAGTAGTACAGTGTCACCATGGTGACTCTGTACTGCTAGGGTGACAGTATGTGAAAAAAAAAACAAAAAACATAAATAATATAAAAAAAAAAATAAAAATGTAAAAAAAAGTTTAAAAATGATAATTTTTGGTTATAAACTAATTTGGCTTATTGTTTTTTACTACTAAAAATATAACAGAATACATTTTGGCCAAGATTTATGATGAAAGATTATTTATTTGCAAAATTTTAGAAAAACACTTTTTTTCAAAATTTTTGGACTTTTTCATTTACATAGCAAAAAAAATAAAAATCCCAGTGGTGAATAAATGCCACCAAAATAAAACTTTATCTGTCTCAAAAAAATGGTAAAAAATTCATATGGGTACAGTATTGCATGACCGCGCAATTGTCATTCAAAGTGTGACAGCGCTGAAAGCTGAAAATTGCCCTGGACAGGAAGGGGGTAAAAGTGTCCGGACAGGAAGTGGTTAACCCTTATTACAGAATATAAAGCCATATCTAAAAACATTTACTGTAGGTTTAGACCATAGGAGACCCATATGCAGCTGTCATAAGTTCAAGCATAACAGTCTTGATGTAAAGGCCGCCCGATGTATTTTGAGTATCACTCTTCTTTCGGGACATACTGTACATATACAAGCTCAAATAGAGGTTCGCAGTTTTCAAGCCTTCAGATGAAAGTTAAGGTGGTTGTAAAGACTCAGTGCTAGTTCACACTAGAGGCAGTTAAGTGCGATTTTTTTCTGTATCAAAAATGCATGCACAGTGTTTTCCATGTATTCCAATGACCCTGGTTCACACTAGTGCAGTCAGTTCCAGTCAGTTTCCAATGCATAAAAAAAAAATAGAACATGCTGCACTTTTTCTGCACAGAACCATACTGGAACATGGCAAACTGCATCAAAACTGCACTGGAACTGCGTGTGGTGTGAACTGTAAGCAAAAACATATCCATTTTTGTAGTGTGAACTGGCCTTCAAGGTTTTTCACCTCCATGCATTCTATGCCTTAAGGAAAAAACCTTCTGTGTAGCAGCTTCTTCCCCAACCCCCCAATACTTACCTGAGCCCCATCTCGATCCATAGATGTGCATGAGAACAGTGGCTCTCTGTGGTCTCTCCCTCCTCTTTCGCTGAGACAGCAGCAGGATCCATTCATAGCCAGTGAGCCAATGAGGAGAGAACGGGGCAGGGCCAAGCCACGCTTTGTGTCTAAATGGAGACACAGCAGCTAAGGAGTGATCCTGCTCAGGTACCCGTTGTGTGGGCACACTGCAGAAGAGAGTGGCAGGGGACCCAAAAAGAGGAGGACCAGGGCTGCTCTGTGCAAAACCACTGCACAGAGCAGGTAAGTATAGACATGTTTGTTATATAAAAAAAGTTTCCCCACCGCCCTATAGCAGTTATACTGCTACAGGGCGGTAGGGGTTCGCAAAATCACGTATATATACGTGATTTAGCATAGGAAATTCACAGCTACGGCTGTCAATTGCTGGGTCCAGCCTGGTGATTACCCACTGGAGCTCGGTGATTACCGAGGATCTCCGACGGGGAGGAGGGCTGCTTTGTTTACTCCTTCCTGTCGGCTCGGGCACACTGCGCTGGATGGCTGTGCACAGCACAGCCATTCAGAGAAGTGTGCTTACAATGAAGCAACCAACACACGCACCCCAGTAAAACACTCCCTGCACACAGTTAACCCTTTGATTGCCCCTGATGTTTACCCCTTCCTGCCCAGTGTTATTAGTACAGTGTCAGTGCTTTTTTTTAGCACTAATCACTGTATTGGTGTCACTGGGGATGTCAGTGACACCAAGTCAGTTCCCCCCAGTGTCAGAATGCCCGCAGTCCCACTGTAAGTCGCTGATCACTGCCATTATTAGTGAAAAAAAAAAATTCCAGTATCTATACTGTAAACATGTAAACACTATAACTTTCACGTAAACCAATTAAATTTCACTTATTGGGATTTTTTTTTAGCAGACATGTAGCAGAATACATTTTGTCCTAAATTTATGATGAAATTTTATTTTTAAAATTTTTTTTACTGGACATGTTTAATAGCAAAAGTCAAAAATATTGTTTTATTTCTCAAAGTTGTCAGATTTTTTTTTTTATAGCACAAAAAATAAAAAAACACACAGGCAATCAAATACAACAACCAAAAGACAGCTCAATTAATGGGAAAAAAGTTCATTTGGGTGCAGCATTGCATGACCGCGAAATTGTAAGTTAAAGAAATGCCGCTCCGTAACACAAAAAAAGGCCTGGTCAGTAAGGAGGGTAAATCCTCAGGAGGGCAAGTGGTTAATATCACTTTAAAAACAATAAGCCTGCTGTTGTGGTAGAGTGGAAAAGTGATCCCATGGTAAAAGAGTCCCAAGAGGGGAAAAGGGTCAACAGAGAATGCAGAGATCCAGATGGCAGCTGAGAAATCTTAACCACACTGTATGCAGCATCTTTATTAAATCTGTCCTTTCCCCCACAGTAACCTGGTCCCCTTTGTGCCTGTTCTGCTGCCTGAGATCAGGAAGGCTTCTTTCCCATGGAGTGAACTACCCTTGAATGCATGCTTTCACTAGGAATAAAGATATAGATATTACAATGTATGCAAATCAGGCAAATCAGATATACTATAGACTTGCTGTGTATCCAGAATCTTCATTTATCAAACTTGTCCTAAACTATGGAGCCACCCACATGCACTACTAGAACCAAAGCTAACACTATGTGCATCCATTCAAACACACAGCCCTAAGGCAAGCCATTCCTCTGCTCCCACCCAGGGGCGGACTGACAACTCATGGGGCCCCCGGGCAATAGGGGATCATGGGGCCCCTGTGTCCTTGCCCAAACTCAAAAAAGCCTATGAAAAAGGTACTAGGGGCATCTCATGGGGCCCCCTACTGACCCCCGGCCCTCGGGCATTGCCCAAGTTTCCAAATGGTCAGTCCACCCCTGCTCCCACCTCTGCTGATGGACAATGCAGTCCTATCTGTTTTGGTACACAGAGTGTGCTCTTCTTAATAGGAAGTTCAGGAAAGCTGTTCTTAGGAGACTGAAGCTGGTGTCAGTGCAGATTACAAATTGTAAGTGTGTGGGGAAAAAAAAAAAAAATAATGTACTGGGGAATGTTTAGCTGCTGTATCAGAATATGTTACTTAACAAATGACAGTTTTATACTAGGTAAAAATGAAAAAGTAAATGCTTCTTCATGCCCAACGCAAACCTAATTGTGAGGGTAGTTAAAGTGACAGTAAACACTTGGTTTCTTTAAACACTTTCAGCAGCTGATTTAATAATTTAGTATGCAGCTTCTTTATCTTGTAATCCAATGCCCATGTTCCATTTTAAGTTGGCACCATGACTTCTTCCTCAGGTTTCCTGTGTCAGAGTGGCTCCTTTCTCTTGCAGCATCCTATGGAGTTATGCTTGCATGCAGGGCCTAGAGTTGTGACTCCTTACACTGTGTACATCAATAGAAACACAAGTCCCCGTAGCCTAGGATGGCAAGACACTGCCCTTCTTCTCCCTCCTCCTTCCCCATCCCTTGACTGCATTGCCCACTGTGAACTCTTTCCAGTGAGGACCAGAAATTTAGGGAAGCAGCACTGAGAGAGCAGGAGCCAGCAGAATCAAAAGTTATAAGCTGCAAGTGCTTGAGTAAAACTTTTACCAAATAATTCACTGGAGAATGTTTATTTTATTAAGCTCAATGTGTTAAAAAACACAACGGATTCAATACTGCTTTAACCACTTCCAGACTGGACACTTTTACCCCCTTCCTGACCAGGGCAATTTTCAGCTTTTAGCGCTATCACACTTTGAATGACAATTGCGCGGTAATGCAACACTGTACCCAAATGAATTTTTTACCATTTTTTTGAGACAGATAACGCTTTATTTTGGTGGTATTTATTCACCACTGGGATTTTTATTTTTTTTTTGCTATGTAAATGAAAAAGTCCAAAAATTTTGAAAAAAAGTGTTTTTTTTAAATAAAATTTTGCAACTAAATAATATTTCATCATAAATCTTTCCCAAAATTTATTCCGTTACCTTTTAAGTAAAAAAAAAATCCCAATTAGTTTATAACCAAAAATTATAATTTTTAAACATTTGTTTTTACATTTTTATTTTATTTTTTTATATTAATATTTTTTATTTATTTTTTTTTTTTTACATACTGTCACCCTAGCAGTACTACTTGTGGGGGGTGATGAAGATTTTTTTTTTTTTTTACACTTATTGCTTTTAGACCCATATAGGATGTAACAGCAATCATTTCTCCTTCTCTCTGTCTGCATTCTTGCACTCATTGAGAAGTACTGAGTGAGCTGTGATTGGTCACAGCTTGTCACATGGTACAAGGCTGTTGTGAATAGCCTTGTACCATGTGACCTCTGTGATCATTCAGAGATTTCACACGTAGTAAGCAATGATGTCACAAGTGACATCTTGCTAACTACTTTGCATGTGATCACTGATTGGCCAATCAGTGATCACATGATCAGGACCTCGTCCAGGGAGCGCGCACAAGCAGGGTGCGGGGAGGCCGTTTATAAACGGCCACCCGACCCTGCACTGCCACCGTCTGGCCGTTTATATGCAACGGCCAGTCTGGAAGTGGTTAAGAGCCATACAAACACTGTAACTATGATTAAACAGGTCTAGAAACATAAAAAGGTTAAAAGCAGAGGTAAAACTAAAAGGAGCTGAACACTGGTATAAACTCTAGACTTGGGTACCATTATTATTCATACAGAATCGTTTGTTGCTTTTACCCCTCCTGAGAGCTTTGGAGCCATCGTAACCTTTGCACCTCCTTTAGTTACGCAATAGGATAAATCCTTCGAGAAGATATTTTCTGTTTACTCAATAAATAGCACAAACAAATGGTCTGCAATGCACAGAAGAGAACATTAAATAGAAAACTTGACTCCATGCTCCATGGAGATTACAGATCAATGTCTTTTTTGCAGTAACTCATATCTATTTATGTAGCATATATTGCTACATAATATATATATATATAGCATTTATGGCATAATGTACAGCGCTTTCCATCTGTCCCTGTTCCTCAGAGAAGATTACAGTCTAATATCTCTACCACAAGCATGCACCCACTAGGGCCAGCTTGGAAGGAAGACAGTTAACCTAGCAATATGTTTCTAAATGGTAGAAAGATATGGATAGCCAAGAGGTAACCCACCAACATGGGAAGAACATACAAACTCCATATGGACGGGGTCCTGAGTTAACCCCAAAAACTCAGAGCCAGCTAGCCTGTTTATTTCAGCTCTATTATTGATTCACATGCATCTGAAAAAAATGGATAGTTAGCTTTTTGAAACGACTAGCACTAGGGATCTTTCCTCATAGGTTTTCAGTGCCTCTGAACCTCTCGACAGCACTGATTTCTGAGGTTCTAATTTCATTTTAAGGCCACATTTTACAGAAATGTCACATCCAGTAACCAGGCTTCCAGATGAGCACCCTTTATTGGATTTCAGAAAGCAGGTCATTTGTTTGTGAGAGGACTGCCCTTTGAACACCCATTATTCAGCTGTTCTTACTTTCTGGTGAGTAGATCAGCTTGTTCCTAAATGACATAACTCCAGCTTTGGGAAACCCTTGAAATTTTGGGGTTTCTGAAGCGACAATGTTCAGAGTAGAATAAACAGTTGCAAGTCCTTAGCTACTTTGTACATTGGTATTAGTCATTGACTGTGAGAGAAATTATTATTATTATACAGGATTTATATAGCACCAACAGTTTGCGCAACGCTTTACAAAAGGACAGTAGACATTACAGTCACAATACAATTTGGTACAAGAGGAAAGAGAGAGCCCTGCCCATTAGAAAATTATGTAAAAACAAAATAGTTGAATCTGCAAATTTCACTTTTTTTCTTCTCTAGATATATGATTTTGTTTTTTTTCTACTCTGCATAGAATCCTACAGTTCATGAATCAACGCTATCCAGATTTCTGAAAAGGTTGATTTTCTGCAATTTGACAGATCTATATGGAAACATTCAGGAGGCTGTGATTCTGATTTGTTCATCATCTCCAGTAATGTTGTGTACCTTATCCAGTGCAAAAAATGTAGCAAAGCATCTTATGTTGGCGAAACAGGACAGAAGTTGCGAATAAGGATGAATTTGCACAGACATACCATCAAGGAACATAAGGAAGATGACTTCTGCACACCTGTGGGACACCATTTCGCACAACCAGATCACACTATGGGAGACCTCAATATTTTAGTTCTTAAAGAGAATTTTAAAACTATCCAGAAAAGGAAAACGTTTGAACCAAGAATGATATTTCTAATTGATACAAAAGATAACGGTCTTAATTTGGACATTGGATTTCTCACTCATTATCCAACAGTTTTACGACCCTCTCTGTAACTGTTGTATCAACATCCTAATTTTATAACCATTGCTGTGTACATTTGTTTGTGTGTGTGCTTTTTTCTGTTTTCTTTTTTTCTCCCCTCGGAGATTGTTTCTTTTAACATTCTGCTAAAACTTTGTGAAGTAGTACTGCTTGAACTTTGAAGAAGGGGACATACTCCGAAAGCTTGTCCTGAACATTGTATGTTAGTGCAAATAAAAAAAAGTATCATGGACAGTACTCAATTGTTTTTTATCTACAGTTTTAATTGTATATATTAAAGGATAAGTTCACCATTCACAATATATTACACCCATATTCAAGGTGTAATATGTAACATGTTATTGTAGCACCAGCACCAGCCCCCACACCCCCCAATCACTCGTTGTGACAGCTAGTTGGGGATCTTCTCCCTCGCTAGTTGTCACAATTGTAAAAAAACATGGCTGTGTGGGGCTCTGCCCTCCTAGCCATGTCATTCATTCACAGAGTTCTGTGAATGGAAAACTACAAGTGCTTTTGCGGATGTGGGCTTGTAGTTCTCAGTGAACTACTACGGTACTGTTGAATGCTCTGGTAGTTCATTGATTTTTTTCTGTCTGTGTAAAACTGCCTGCCCATAAGCTGTATGGACAGACAGCTTCCACTGACAGCCTGCAGGAGTCCTGCACAGCACCAGTGATCTGCTGATCACTGGTGCAATGCTTTCCAGGCTCCTAAAAAAAATGTGCATTTATTATTTAGGAGAAAAAAAATCTTTTAAATATTTAGGGTAAGCAGCAAATTTTCAGACTTTTCATACAAAATGCAGCACTTATCACAACAAGCATGAAAAATAATAAATTGCAAAACATAAATGATGATTCATTGCAAAACACACATAAAAATAATCAGTTCATTAAAAAAAAAGTCTTCGCATAAGTGCTAAAAAAAGGAAAAAGAAAGTCCCCAAATGTGCAAGAAATGCTTCCCACCACCACAAAACCAGAAGGGCAAGCTTCAGACTTTCATGAATATTCAGAAATATGTCTGGAAAATAAATGTAAAGAGGTACTTGATTTTGAATCCTACTAGGAATGTGGGTCCAGTGCTTGATGTTTACATACATACTGGTTAGACATGTGCAAAACAAAAAATTTTGTTTCGTTTTGATTCGAAATCTAACAAATTTCGTGTAGTTAGATTCGGTAAATTTGTTCAGTTCGTTTTCGGGATTCGTTTTGGTCATTTGTATTCAAATTCAATTCAAAAACATTTTGACCAAATTCAAAAAAGTTGTTCACATTAAAAATTGGTTCAAAATTGATTAAAAAAATTCAAAAAGTCTTTCGAAATCAAAAAGAATTCAACCAAATTTGAAAAAATTTGACCAAATTTGAAAAGTTAAGCTGGCCACATGTGTAGATTTGAAAAAAAAAAAAAAAAAGTTAGCAGCTATAAAAACTGTAGCTGCTGACCTTTAATAAATGGACACTTACCTGTCCCTTGATCTCATGGTGTGCCCCCCCCCCCCGCAGTCCGTTTCACCAGCTGCCATGCATTCAGGGCGCCGGCATCTTCAGTGTGGGCACCCGGCTGTGACAGCCTGCGGATTCACTGCTTACTGCGCATGCACAAGTAGTGTTGGGTTTTGTGAATGGTCCCATAGTCTTCTGGGACCTGTCACGTGTCTAGGGGGGGACAACTTCCGCTTCCAATCGCCTAGGCGATGACAGAGGAAGTGGGAGCGGGTACCTGTCAATTTTGGGTACCTACTCCCCCCCCACTCCCCAAAGGTGCCAATCCTTAACGGGGAGCGGGAGACCAATCTTCAAAGTTTAACTTCCTCTTTTGGGTGGAGCTCCACTTTAAATTGGTTTTCGAATGTTTGTTCAATTTTGTTTTCAAATTTGTTTTCGACTCTGTTTTCAAATCGAATTTTGACCGAATCTCGTTCCCTTATTTTGGATTTGTTTAAATTCATTATTTTTTAAATTCAGAATTCTGATAAATCCGAATCTCCGAATAATGAAAAAATGTGTCCGAAATTCGATTCGGAGCGAAACGAACCGCACATATCTAATACTGGTCTTTCCAATGCATCTTTACTTAATCTAGTTTATTAATATTAAAAGGAGACATAATGATAAAGCCCTGGAGGATGGCCTTAAGCAATTATAAGACAGAAAGGATATTGTGATTCCCCCTGCAGATAAGGGAAGTGGTGTTGTGGTGTTGGATAAGACAGACTATGTGGCTGAAACTATTAATATTCTTTCTGATCATTCCACATACGTACCTTTAAATTTCAACCCCACTAGAATTTTAAGAAAGATTTACACAACATCACTAATGAGGGTTACAGGGAAGGTATTTTGAATAAGGAGAGGGCTTATTTAATTCCTACAGCCCCTCATGTACTGATGATTTAATACTTACCTAGAGTACATAAGAATTCCATATAGACCCCTGGAAGGCCCATTATTAGTGGCATTGACCTCGAAGATTGGAAAATATGTGGATGAATTCCTACAGCCACTGATCCCTAAAATACCTACTTTTTTGAAGGATACAACCCATGCTCTAACTCTCTTACAAGCAGGGGCGGCACCAGGTAGGTGCTTGGGGATGCTATAGCACCCCCATAAATTTTCATAGCACCCCATCATCAGCCACCAGTAATAAATTCACAGCTTGCAGTCTGGACTCGTGTCTCATGCATGTCACAATGAGCGGCTCCTGAAGCTTGCAGTGCTCTCACCCCCCCCAGCCCTCCCCTCTGTGTACACTCAGCACATTATCTCTAATATGGGAGAACTCACAACACAGGAGGAAGATGCAGGCCATGTCATCTCAGTGCTTGACAGGCGCAGGTAGGGAGGAATCTGTGCAGTTACTTGCTAAGTCTTAGCCAATCATCATGTGTCCATGCTCCAGACCATCCCCCCCTGCCCCGACTTAAAAAAAACCTCAGCTCCTCTGAGTTACAGTGATTTTTTTTTTCTTTCGATTTGCTTAGAAGGGAGAAGTTCCTTGTTTAGTGCAGGCAGCAGAGGGGAACAGGAGTAGAGAAAAGCATGCCCTTCTAATCTCTAATTGGATGAATAGAATGTAGGATCTGTATTATCTGACCCTGCTTCCCTACCTCTGCTTAACCTTTAACCCTTAGGGCCCATTCACACTAACTTTGCTTTCTGAAGAGCAATCCACATTTAGATAACTCTTCAGAAGGCATTAGCCAGGCAGTGAGG